AGTTGCTAACCCCTGCAGTAAAGCCCCCTTACTAAACAAACCATATTCTGATCTACCTTATATATGAATCAGGCTACTGTTTCTTATTCAACAATCAATAATTTTGCTTCTGTATTTTTGTTTTAATGACTATGTACACCGTCCATACTCATGCTGTTTGAGTTGGGTAGCTATATAAATGTTCTGACTATATAAATAAATAATGTGTGAGGCTGCCAGTGTGTTTGTTCACAATTACATTTTTTTTTAACAATGGGGCCATAGTAGTCTTAAATATTTTAGTCATATCAATCTGCAAGCTATAGAGGTTTGATTGATTTATTATGTGCCATCAAGTTGGTGCCTGGTCGTTTGTGCCTAGAATAAGAATTCTGGATTGATTTGTTCTGTGATTTATTTGTTTGTTTATTTTCTTGACTGTCCATGATATTCTCAAGTCATCTTCTCCAACACTAAAGTTCAAGAGAATTAATGCTCTTTCTAACCTGCTTCTTCAAAGTCCAACTTTTCCTTCGACACAGGAAAAACTGTTGCCTGCATAATTCTGATCTTTGTATATATAAACACATCATGGCATCTTCAAGGGTTTCATTTCTGACCCTAACAAGTGCTAGTCGCCAGCATATTTCTTAATTTCTTAATTGCTGGTTCCTTTATTAACAGTTAGTCTAAAAAGGCAGAAACTATCCACTGTTTCCAGTGTCTTCATTGTCTGTTCTAAGGCTGGTTGCTGTGCCTGTATCATTAGTTTGGACTTTTTCATCCTAGTCCATTTTTCCACTTTGTTCCTTGACTTTTATTACTACAGCTTACAGATCATTTGCATTTTCAACTATCTGAATAGTGTCATCAGCATATCATAGTTACCAGTGTTTCTTCATCCCATTTTAAAACCATACTCATCTATTTTCAATCCAGTTTCACTTAATATATATTCTACATAAAGGTTGAATAAATAAGGAGATAGCATATAACCTTTGCTGACTTGTCGCCAATCTGTTTGCCAGGTAGAATAACAGAATCTTGAAAGCCTGTACATGTTTCTCTCTGTCCTATCTTATACCAAACAAAATCAAGGCAGGCTTATTTTGAGTTTCTTTCTCAAGCTTCCCTTTTCTCAGAACTTTGTAATCTTTTTGGCAATTTCCCCTTAATGGCTTGTTCATTCCTTCCCTAGGCAAAAGGTCAACTCTCCATTTTTTTACATCATGCAGCACATCCTGACTTTTTTTGGTACTCTTTGGCTTTCTCAATTATCCAGCAACTGGCTCGCACTTACGACGGTTGCAGTGTCCCGCGGTCATGTGATCGCCATTTGCGACCTTCCCTGCCAGCTTCCCACAAGCAAAGTCAGAGGAGAAGCCAGGCAGTAAGGTCGCAAGTTGCTCCCACTTCTGACACTTTTTCTCCTGAGGAGCCTCCACTATGTAGTTCACACACACCTGTAACATCCCTCTGCCCGCACTCCATAGTGCATGCCCTCCCGGCCATGCTTGTGCCACCCCTCACCCCCCTGCCCTGCCCCACCTGTGCTGGGCCACAGCGCCTACCTACATGCTCGCCCGTACTTGTGCCACAGCCCCCCACCTGGCTGCACTTGTGCTGGGCCGCAGCACCCACCCCCTGCCTGCCGGCCTGCTTGCAAGCCACCTAAGGAAAGGCTTGTCATGTCTAGGACTTGAAACTTCCTGCCAGCTTCTCCACTGACTTGTTGGAAGCTGGCAGGAAGTTGCAAGTTACAGTTACATGAGGTCCTTGGCTTAACGCCCACGATCGTTGCTCAATGATGGCAACGGGGACTGATGGGATTGATAATGACCACTGATGTGGTCACATGACATTGCACTTTATGGCCACATCACGTAGCAATGGAAATTCTGGACCCAATTACTGCCATTAAGCAAGGACTACCTGTATAAACTGATCATTTCCAATCTGTTAGCCACTGTCATTCTCCAGATTTGCTGGCATAGTTCAATTAGAAACTTTACAGATTCTTCTTCTGTTGTTTGTCATATTTCTATAGATATTCCATCAATTGCTGTAGCTTTCCAACTTGGTATTGACCGGGGTGCTGATCTAACTTCATTTTCTATTACTAGAGTAGCTGAGCTGAAATTGCTTCTCATTTTTCAATAGTAAGCGGGGTTTTCATCATACTGGTTGTTCAGGCCCTGTATCGGTGAAGGTACCTGTTCATTTTTCAAAGCAATGTTGGTTGGCTATCCTATCTTGAATAGTTTTGCTTTTTTTTAAAAAAAAGTTAAGAATAAATAAGAATAAAGTTAACAATTGGTTTTTTAAGGTTAAATGGTGGGGAAGGGGGAAGGCCAAAGAAAAGGGAGCATATGAAAACGGAAGAGCCTACCCAGAATCCAGATGCAGAGAGAGAGAAGCCAAAGGGAGCAGTCAGCGTTCAGTATAGAAGTTTCACAGATGGTACTATTATTGGGAGCTGCTGGGATATTTGGGGGTGCCATGTTGAAGAACAGGTAAATGCTTCATTTCCAGCAAAACTTCCCATGCTCGGCCTTCTTTTTCCTGAGGGAAATGTGTTATATCCAGGATACAAAATGCCTTGTAAGACATGGCCACTGCAAAAAGAGGAGCAAGAAAACTGTCACCCCAATGTCATGCAGATAAAATCTGTTCTCTCTCTACTGTGCGTGGGATGAGGAAAACCAGGTTTCAATTCTGAACATTCTGTACAGGTACAATTTAAGTAAACTTTCCCCAACCCAGTGTCCTCCAAAGTATTGGACGAAAGACATGGCTTTTTTTATTCATGGTATCTTTTGTTTGCCTGCAAGAACAACGGTAATAGAGAATCTGTCACACCCTAACCGCCTGATGACTGAGAGATGTTTCACCTTTCGTAGAAACTGTTGACATTTGATCCTTTGGCTTTCGTAGCCAAATGGTACAAAGTATTTTTTTCCATGCATTATTTTCCTCTACTTCTATTGGAAAGGTGGATTTATAGGTTATTTTTATGTCATGTTCTGCTTTCCATTCTTGATTTTAAAAGTTATAAATAAAAGTATAAAACCTTTCCTCTTTAAAAAACGGTGTGAAGTACTCTAATAGTAGCTGTTGCTTTCAGAAATCATCAAAAGGACCATAGATAAAGTGTTTGACTTTGTTATCATCGCAGATTTGGTTCAGATGAGCTGAAGAAAGAATTTCTTGCCCCAACTATAGCTGGAGATTTTGTGGCTTGCCTAGGAGTGAGTGAAACTGGGGCAGGCTCAGATGCTGCAAGTAAGTAGATAAATCATACGTAGAAAGTTTATAACCCATATAGATTATTGACTTTGTTTGTTTGTTTGTTTATTTATTATACAAATTTATATGACTACCCATGTACCATACACATTTATATGGCTGCCCATTAACCCAGAGGAACTCTGGATGGCGAACAAGAATAAAAGCATAATACAATTATAAAATTAAATCAGTTGAAAGAAAGAAAGAAAGAAAGAAAGAAAGAAAGAAAGAAAGAAAGAAAAGATAATGTTGAGGCCTCAATTTTAAAAACTTCATGCCCATAAACCACACCCAACCATGTCAAGCTCCATTAACATCCTGGCCCTATGTACACCTTGCTATACTCCTAAACAGTTCGAGATTGCATGCATAATATCTCTCCTACTTCCCCCTACCTTTTTTTTTTTTTTTTTTGCAATGATACTGTGAAGCAACAGAGAAAGCAACTGATTCAGAGTCTCCTAGAAAATGTTCTTGCATCTCAACTGATCGTCAGTAAAAGATGCTTTGTGTAATCCCTGTTAAAAGAAATGGAGAAGGAAGAATAATCGTTGGTTAGTATTATAGCTTGGTTGAATTTGTGAGCTGGTAGGAATGAATTCCCCCCTTCCCCGCTGGCTTAAAGAAATTGGAAAATTACAATATGATATTAAAATATTTTAATGAGGCCAAGTTTATTCTCTCTTCTTAGATATTTCTTTTTTTTATATAATAATCTATAGGTGTTTTTTTTATCATTTCCACCTCAACAGTTGTTCAAATCAAACAAACAATGAAGACAACAAATTTAGACTTTCCCACCTTTCTTTGTGGACCACAGTTCTCCTTAAATGTTTATGGAATTTAAGAATGAATGTCTTTGTTTCTTTATGAAGCAGTGAAAAGTCAAGTGGCTCAAATGTAATGCTGATTATTGTCTGCATAAAGCACAATATTTAGTGAATAAAAGTAAGAGGGCAATAGGGAGAAAGGGATCAGCATGGGATTGGATTAAAGGGTTCAGAGGAAGCTTGGGGCAGGCAAAAGAACTACACTGAGAAGATGGAAAGGGGAGAACATAAGGTTTGCATACAGAAAGTACAGTGTTAATCTCGTGATTCTCCGGTTAAAATAGGTAGATAGTAAGTCCTTGGGAAGATTTCTTCCTGCAGAGCTGCTACCAACCTGAGAAGGCAAAAATAGAATTGGCATCAGGTAACTTCAAATATTTCTATGTTCATAAGATGTTCTGGGTAGGAAACCAAAACCCATGTATTCAAAGCTTTTCTTTCTTTTATATTAAAAGAAGTAGAAATGCCTCACTGAAAAACTCATAAGTGTAAAAAAAAATTAAAAAATAAAAATAAGCAGCATTAGCAACAAACTCACTCCTAAGTATTTTTCTGCTGATGAACCAAAGTCACTGGAGCAGGACTGGGCATTATTTTGGGGTTACATTTAGACTTAGAGATGTGTTAAGAACCTAATTCAAATAAAGACGTAGCCAGGAAAAGTGGGTAGGGTATGAATGAGCAAAATATATAAAACATACATTAATGTTTCATAAATTAAATACAAGAATAAATTAAATGTTTATTCTGCCATAAACAGTGGCCAGTAGGTAGTCTCTCTCTCTCTCTCTCTCTCTCTCTCTCTCTCACTTTTATTAAAGACTTTTTAAAAAGATAAAAACTAATACAAACTAATATAATGTGAGAAAAAGAAAAGAAAAAGAGATTTAAAAAGAAAGGTAAAAGTGCAAGAAAGAAAAAAAAAGTAAAAGAAAAATAGAAAAGAAAGAAAAAAGATACAAAGGAGTAGCTTCCACTCTTCTATACAGCAGTTATAAGTACAATTATAAATTTACCTCTTCCTCTTTGGTTACAGCATAACTCTCTTCTTTCTATATCCTATCCTGTCTAATCATCAAAACCATAAATCATAAATTCATTTTTTTTGCTGCTTCACGCAAAAATCTATAGGGGGTTTCCAGTCAGCAAACTGGAACACCGGTAGGTATTTTGGAGAGGTTCAGAAAGGCATGAAAGCTTTAGTAAATAAAATATACACTCCTAACTTTTACCACCGTTGCTTGTCTATATGTCTACCAGCCTACTTACCTATTTATCTAAAAATTAACCTAGTTTATCAACAAATGGAACATTGTAGAGGAATCAGATTCAGTTTAAAGGTTAAATCCATCATTTCCAATGTACGTAAAATACAGGTAGTTGTTGGGATACAACGGCAGTTGGGACCGGGGTTGCCATAACTAAATGTTGCTGTTGTAAAGCACAATGTCATGTGATTGCATCACTTAGTGACGACAATCCTGGCAGTCCTGGTTGCCGTTGTAACCCCAAGACACGTGGGTCATTAAGTGGGAAGGGGCAGGAGTACCAGGTAGGAGCATGGGGGTGTTGGAGGAGGGTGGGGAGGGTGCCACGGGGGGTAGGGGAGGCCCTGGAAGGGCTGGAGCAGGCCCTGGGCACATTGGGGAAGTCTAGGGCAGGGCTTGGGAGGCCTGGCACAGACTGTACATGAGTGCAGGAAGCCTGGGAGGTTGTGTGTGGCGTGAGCACAGGAAGGCCAGGGGGTGGATTGCACAGCAGGGTGTGACCACAGGAAGGCTGGGGGGACTTACCAAAGCAACATGTGACCTTCCCTGCCAGCTTCCCCATTGACTTTGCTTGTGAGAAGCTGGTAGGGAAGGTTGCAAAAGGCAATCACATGACCACAGGACGCTGCAACTGTCGTAAGCATGAGCCAGTTGTCAAGCACCTGAATCACGATCATGTGACTGCAGGAACGCTATGATGGCTGGAACTTCGAGGACAAGTCATAAGTACCACTTGTTCAGCACCATCACAAATTTGAACGGTCACTGAACAAGTGGTTGGTAAGCAAGGACTACCTGTATATCTAGTCTGTAGATTGTGATTCTCTATCTCTGTAGTAATACTGAAGAATATAATCATATAGTTGGACTCTTCGCATTCCATGCTATTTTTTTTTCTTTGTGTGTAGGTATCAAGACAACAGCTGTAAGAAAAGATGATGACTATGTGATAAATGGTGGCAAAATGTGGGTCACTTCTGGATTTCAGGCGGATTGGATGTGCCTCTTGGCAAACACTAATGATGGACCACCCCACAAAAATAAATCTCTTCTGTGTCTACCAATGAAACTGCCTGGTAACAAAGTTAAAATAAATTGTTATTAGAAAAAATCAAAGGTAATACCAAAAAGTAATACTTAAAAATCGGAGGAGTGGAAATTCATATTTGAACCTCATGAATCATCACGGGAAATATCTCTTCCAAATGATGATAATCTCTCAACAGCAAAATAGTGTTGGCCATAAACTTTTCAAAAATGCATATCAAGATAGTGCCTTTATTAGGCTAACACAAAATCTTCAAATAAGTGTCAGGCTTTCCAGGTCACCAGAATTCTTCATTGAGGTTTCATGCTTTTTTGGGGGGAGGGGGTTGCTATCTTCGAAGTTTAAAGAAACCAAGCAAGTGCACACTTAAAATTGAGAAAGCTTCAACAATCTGATAAAATTGATAGTTATCCACTCAAACTTATGGCATAATAATTAGTTACAGTGGTACCTCGGTTCACGAACTTAATTCATTCCACAACTCTGGTCGCGAACCGAATCAAATTTTCCCATAAGGTTCAATCAACCTCTGGTTCCAGTATTTTTCAAAATGGAAAATTACTTCTCTTTGTCCACTACATCCACACCATGTATAATTTTGTATACCTTAATCATATCTCCTATCATTTGCTTCCTTTCTAGACTAAAAAGCCTGTGTTGCAACCTATTCCCATAGGGAAGTTACTCCAGCCCCTTGATCAACTTAGTTGCCCTCCTCTGAACCTTCTTTAGCTCTACTATACCCTTTTTCAGGTGTGGCAACCAGAACCGCACACTATATTCCAGATGTCATCACAACATTGATTTATATAAGGTCATTATGATATTGGAATCTTTGTTTTCAATACCATTTCTTATTATGCCTAACAAGCTGTTGCCCTTTTTTACGGTGGATGGACACTGTGTCAACACCTTCATTAAACTATTTTCCATTACTCCAAGATCTTTTTACTCTTTACTGTTAGCTCTGATCCCAATAATTTGTATGAATAGTTAGGATCTGAGGCAGCAATGTGCCAATATGCATCACTTTATACTTGCTCATGTAGAATGACATTTACTATTTTGACACTCATTCCCCTAATGTGCAGAGATCTCTATGGAGCTCTTTGCAGTTCATTATTGTTTTTATCACTCTGAACAATTTAGTGTCATCAGCAAACTTCACTATTCCACAAGTCACACCCAATTCTAGATCCTTTATAAATATTTTAAAAGGCATCGGTCCTAGGACAGAACTCTGGGGGGCCCCACTAGTTACATCCCTCCATTGTGAGAAATATCCATTTACTCCTACTCATTGTTTTCTATTCTTTAGCCAGTTGCTTATACACAAGATGACCTGCCCTTTTATTCCATGGCTATTAGGCTTATTGAGAAGTCTTTGATGAGGGACTTACGAAAAGCTTTTAGAAAACCTAAGTAGGTAATGTCTACTGGCTCGCCCTCATCCACATGTTTTATAAACAGCCTAAAAACCTCTAGTAGATTAATTAGACAAGACCTTCCCTTTGTGAGCCATGCTGGATATTTTTGAGCAAGGCCTGTGTCTCCAAACGTTTGGTAATTTTGTCTTTAATAGCAGTTTGTGCTACCTTCCCCCATAACAGATGCTAAACTGACCGGCCTGTAATTTCCTGGATCACCTTATGAGCCCTTCTTAAAAATTGGAGATATATTGGCCTCTTTCCAGTCCTCTGCCTGTAGACTGCCCAAAACTCTGTGAGCATAATTTCATTTCCGTGAGTCACAACTTAAATGATTATTCTTTTTCTTTCCAAAAGAAGGTCATTGCTGACCTTGAAAAAGGTCATTGCTAAGAACCAGAGTATTGTGGTGTAAAATTTGATCACATTGGCTTACGATCATCATTTAGCAGGAACATAAGATAGTTCAGTTTGGGGAAAAATCTGAGTAAACCATCTGCAGCTTGTGAAGATTATTTGCTTTTTTAGCTTAAACAAATCCAGATGGGAATCCCCTGAAAAATGTTTGTCAAGTATCCTTAGACAAACTTCACGGATAGATGCGTAATACAAAAATACATTCAGCAATTTCTTAAGGGTTACTGCCTATTTTTTATTTATTTTTAATTTATTTATCAAATTTGTCACCACCCATCTCATTGAAATGTTTACAGCAAAAATAAAATTTGTTAAAATACGGTATAAAACAGACCTGATAATAAATAGCTTCCAAGCAAGATGGAAAGTTGGGGAATAATTCACGGGAGCGTCGTCAGAACACTAACCACCCCCAAGGACAGTTAGAGCCCATATTGCCCCATACACACTGGCAGAACCAGGTCTTTAAACCTTTTCGGAAAGCTGGGAGGGTAGGGACTTGTCGCACCTCTCGGGGGGAGAATACCCCAAAGGGTGTGGGCAACAGCAGAGAAGGCTCTCCTCCTGGGCCCCACCAGCCAACGTTCTCTCGCTGATTTGATATGCATATAATAGGTTTCAGTAGTATTTCCTAGATTATATACACTATTATATATATAAAAAATGCTGTTCCATATCAACAACATGGGCAGTGTCTGTTCTACCTAATTTTTAAAAATTAATAAAGGCAGTTGGTTTCATCAAGCCTTCTTAATTGCTAATAATATAAGCCAACAAACTTATCTTACATCTTCACTAGCAGTTGTCCCATTCTTCTGAATTGGAATAACATAGACAAATGTTTGTGTATCAGAATTACTGGGTATACTAAGACCAAGCTGGACTGCAGCATGACCCAGTATTACAGCCCATTTTTTTTTTTTTAATTGTCAATAAGAATGATGTTGTCCTTGTATTATACCTCCCATGGGAAAATCACTGACATCTTAATTAATGCAGTTTATTTGAATTATCCTCCAGTCTTATTTCTTTCTTTAGAATTACTCATCAGTGGGCCTTAGAAACATTTCTGATAATATAATCCTTTGACAGTTTTTACGTAATTTCACTAATCCAAAAATTTCATTTACATTTTTAACTGCTAACAGATTCAAACTTTGCTATGCAATTAAGATTGAGTGATACCTAGTGTTCGTCCTTTTTTTAGATGGAGAATATTCTCAATTGTGCTTTTGTTCTTTCTATGTTACTTGAGCGCCCGCTTACCAGAAACAACCACCCTAATATTGAACTTAATAACACATTCAAGATTCAGAGGGCTAGGCTGTCATTATGAGATCTCTCAAAGTGGTTTCTTGACTTTCAAGCAGCTATAACACTCTCCAATTTAAGATGGGACGAGAGCATTGGGTGGGAAGTTGTTCAACTTCCATCCTTCACCAGTTCCTTTAATGCAGATAGATGCCCCAGACACAGTGGGAAAACTGACTGCATACTTGCTTCTCCATAGCTAATATCATCTCTGAGTGATATTCATCTGGGTAATTAGTGCGGAAAAAGCTTGATAGACATTTTGTAGTACAAGCTAGTCTTGAGCAGCTTGGGAAACAATAAAAATACATTGGAAAAACCGATCATGATTCTCCCAGATAAAATATACTCTGTCCTGAGTTGCTTATCCCTGATACAGCACTCTTTTGTTTATAAAGAGGAGGAAAGCCAGGATGATTTTTAGAATGTTGTTTTGCTCTAAACTATTTAAGGTTATATGACCTTTCGTATCATAGCATTTATCTGTGCTGTATTTCCCCTTCTTCGTTCTTTTTTCTTCAAATCTGTAACTTTGTAAATTAATTGATCCAGATGGAACTCAGACCAGCCATCAAAAGTCCCTGATTCTTTTGGGCATGTTGCTTTCCATTCTGAATCAGAGTCTTATTCAAGTGACAATGTGAAAAGTCTCTGAATATATACAGAAGCACTGCAGTTTATTGTGAGTGATTGGCAGTCAGAACCATATTCCTGGTATAAATAAAGGGTACTTAGTTCTATTGAATGATATTCTTGACAAGTCAATAAACTAATTTGTATTTCCCCTTAATTGTTCAAGAAAATAATAGGTATATTCCAAAGTAAAAACAGTGACATTTGTATGTTTACTTTTGTCTTATTCAAACCAGAAAGTGTAATTTTTCAGGATTGTGACTAGGACATCTTCTTACAATCTTTAGAATTTCAATTTGCTTATTAACAATGATAGTTTATCTTTTTCCTATCAGGATGGAAGCATTAATTTATGACACTTGTGCATTTTTTTAAAGATGAATTTTAACTGAGTTAAAAAAGATGCCATAATCTAGTTGCCATTGAATGTCTCACAGTTGCAATTCATGTTACTCAGTTGCATTAATCATTTCCCTTGAACGATCTACGAACATTCATTTTTAGGTGTTCACATTGCTAAGAAAATCAACAAGCTGGGTATGAGATCATCTGACACAGCAGAAATCTTCTTTGAAGATGTCCGAATTCCCAGAAAATATCTCATTGGGGAAGAAGGAATGGGATTTATTTACCAGATGTTGCAATTCCAAGAAGAGCGAATGTGGGGAGTAGCCACATGTAAGTAATAAGCCAGACTCACTAGCTGCTAAGAAGGCTATTTATTACATAACAATATGGAAACTTGATTTTGGCAATAGAATAGAACAACATTCCAAAAGCACAGGATGATTATTATGGAATCCAATTTCTTGTTGAATACAGACTGCTTTTGTATGCATTTCCAGAGCTGCTGATTCCTCCCTTATACAAATCTGTGAAAAAACATTTGTTTCCATTCAGATTTTTCTGAATTTTGGATATTTTTGCCACTGAGTGTTACCAGAACTTCATATGGGTCTTTCTGGTCTATAGCAGGGCTCTGGCGAAAAACAACACCAAACATTTGTTGTTTTCTAAACAAAGTTTTCCATTTTGGGTTGTGTCTATTTGAAAAAGTCATCAGTTCAGTTAATACAACTAAAAATATAACTAGAACCAGTTGTTTGAATACTTCATTAAACAATCAGGATTGATTTGGGCCAGCCCTTCCCTATATCAGTTTCACAAACTTCAGCTCTCCTTATCACAGTGAAATGCTCCCCAGAGAATGTATGATGACCTCCATAATAAAGTCATTAATGTCTATCAGTCTGGAAAAGATTACAAAGCCATTTCTAAAGCTCTGGGGCTCGATCACTCTAGAGTTAGAGACATAGTCCTGCAATGGAGAAAGTTTGGAACAACAGAGAAACTTAATGGTGGCTGTCTGTCAAGATCATTCCAAAAGCACAGGATAAAATTTTCAGGAACCCCAGAACATGCTTGGCTCTCCAGGCCTTTCTTGGCCTGGCTAGAGTCAGTTTTTGTGACTTCATCATTTTAGAAAAGCACTGGGTAAAAATGGCACTCATGACAGCAGCTCACTCTCAAGAACATAGAAGCTTGTCTCAAGTTGGCTAAAAAGCACCTGGATGACCTTTCAAACATGTGGAACTTTTCAGGCTCCATAGGTGCTATTATGGATGGTGAAAAGAATTCCAGTTTGGTTGTAATTAACCAAATGAATTAATTCCAAATTTCATACCAATTGTCAAACAGAGAGGTGGTAAGGTCACAGTTGCTTTTCTGTCTCAGGGTCTGGACTACTTGCTATCATGATAGGAAACATGAATTCTGCTTTGTGTCATATAATTCTGCAGAATATCAAGCCGTCTGTCTGTTGAAACTGAATCACAATTGGGTCATGGACCGAGACAGTGTTCCCAAATATACAAGCAGGTCTGTGAGAGAATGGATGAAGAACCAAGTCAGTATTTAGATACTCTAGACCTAAATGCTGAAATATTGTAGCAAGTCTTGATGCCAACAGTTCATGCTAGAAAAACCTCAGATTTTACTGAGCCAAAGCAATGTGCTATGGAACAGTGGGCCAAAATTCCTACATACTAATTAGGAACCATTTGGTTGCGATTACTGCAGTTAAAGATGGTATAACCAGTTACTGAATATGAGGGGGTTGATTACTTTTTCACACTGGCACATTGTATGTTGTCCATGAAACAGCCACTAATAGGTGTTGCTGTTGTTCACTTTGACTCTCTTTATGTAACAGTAGGACCCACAGGAAGCTCTTGATAATGTTCCATGGCAGAGATATGCAAAAATTTAGAAAAATCTTATATACTCCATCCCATATTTTCATACCGGGGGGAGGGGGGGAAGAAAGAAAGAAGGAGGCAGGGAGGAAGGGAAGGACCTTAACCTTCAAGGAAAAGGAATTAAATAAGCTTGCTTTCATCTTTCATTACCCCAAATCTTTAGCACTGGTGTGTCTAGAAAGAGTGATGGAAGAAACTATTGATTATACTTCTCAGCGGAAGGCATTTGACAAGCCACTATTACACAACCAAGCAGTGCATTTTCGTCTGGCTGAACTAGCAACTGAAGTGGAACTTCTTCGTGCATTGTTATATGAGGCGGTAGGTAAGTGCAATAACATTTTATTTCCAATATTTATCTAGTAAAATGCATATTATTTTTAGTAGATGTGGCTAACTTGATAGGTAAATTTGTACTTTTATTTGAGGTCTCTACATACGTGGTAATGATGTGACAAAACTTGTATCCATGGCAAAACTAAAGGCAGGTCGTCTGTCTCGAGAGCTTCCAGATAGCTGTCTCCAGTTCTGGGGAGGAATGGGGTACACTAACGAAGTGCTAGTGAGTAGAATGTACAGGTGAGTAAATAATTGGGATCAGCCTCTTTAGTGAGTGTGGGTGTGCCTGTATAAGTAGGTAATATAAACATTCAAATTGTTAATCAGGTATTCATAATTTGATGCATCGTATTGGATACATGTAGTTAATGTTAACTTTTAAGAAAAGATGTTTCTTATAATCCAAGGAACTTTATATATAAGCACTGTGTATCTGGTGGGATAATTACAGTACATATTTCTTCCTGAATTCCCCACTCCTCATGTTTAAGCTCAAATGCGCTAATCCCCCCCAAAACATACAAATACATAGGGAGAACTGAAGAAGCTGAAGAAGAAGTAGTAGCAATAATCCTTTATTTCTGTCACTGACCAACATCATTTACATTCAGTGGTAAAATTAAAACCATCCCATTATGCCAATAGTTTAACCTATGTACAATAAGAAAGCTGAAGAGGAAATCCAGACTCTTTGGCAGCCGGAACTATTGTCTCAAAAACAACAAATATATACAGATAGGAGATCTCAAATTCTGGCCTGTAAAATGCCAGAGAACCCTTATTTCTATTTCTGCTAGGATCACCAAGGTAGAGTGCAAGAATCTTGCTATAAAGGGAATATACAGTGAAATCTCCATTTTACAGACCCTCATTTAATAGACTTTGGATACAGTGAACAAAACCTGAATTCATACAGTTCACAGAATGTATTTAAGTAATTTTTACTAATTAAAGTAAATGGTTATGTATTATTGGGATATACATGACAAACGATTGCATGAATTTTAAATAAATTACATAAAAATTACATAGATTTGTAAATTCAGTTTTAATGGGCATCCTTCCCCCAGTCATTGGTCCATAACATTAAAATTTTAGTGTATCTTAATAAACACTGGATAGATTCCAACTGCTGTTTAGCATGAAAACAATGATTTTTGGCATGCTCAAGGGATACATGTGGCTAGCTTAAATTGATTTCCTTTCAGTTTCCATGAGAGTAGTCAGAGAGAGAACTATATGCGCAAAATCTTTGCTTTATTTTTTCTGGAGAACAGAAAGTCTTCTCAAGAATTGCTTCTACTTTCTTTCTTTGACCGTTTTCTATTGTTGGTGTAACAGCGATGTACTTACGGGAAGAAGTTTCAGTTATTATCATAATGTGTTCTGCACCTTTCAGTCATCAAGATTTTGCTACATAATCTTTAGTAAGCATCTGAGACATAGGTTCGTTTTTGTAAACCTTCATTATTATATTTCATAGCATTTGGTTGAGGCATTAAGGATGTAAGCTGCTTTGTAAAGGAAGAATATAGTCAGTGCACACACATGCATACCACCTTCCAAAAAAACCTCTCAGTGGTTTTATTCTTGGATGATTCTTCTAAGATGATGGGGGAAACTTTTTTCAAGTAAAGGGGAGGAAAGAATTTCCAGAACAAGACTATAGCCCTCAAATTCCCCCAGTGCTGTCTGTATTTCCTGTTTCTAATTAGCTTCTCTCTCTTTATTTCAGAACAGCTAGAGACAGTGGAAGTGAAAATATTTCACTTCTAAGCTTGCTGCACTTTGAATTTCTTTCTTTTTTTGTGCTGTGTAAAATAGATATCCATTTATATAGAGAATAATTTTAAGATTTTTAATTGAATACATTTTTCCAAGTAACATACAAAACAATGCAAACTCTGTTCACCCTTTCAAAAGGATGGTCAGGACTTTGGATATGTTCTGAGATCTCTACATCTCTTGGTTCTTCTTATTACTACAGGTAGTCCTCAAATTATGACCATGATTGGGACCAGAATTTCCATTGCTAAGCAGTGTGGTCATAAAGTGAGATATAATGTGACCACATCACTTAGTGACTGCAATCCTGACAGTCTCAGTTGCTGTTGTTAACTGAGAATTTTGGGTTGTTAAGTGAGTACCAATCCAAGCCATTTTGGGCTTGGTCCCTCCAGCCTCGAGCCTCAGTAAGGTAAGGGACTACCTCCAACTCCTCCCACCTGCCTATCTCCCCCCCATCACTGCCCTTCTGGCCGCCCTGCACCCTGCCTTGTGGGGTGGCAGGCAGCCCCAGAACTCTGCAACTCTGGAGCTGCTTGCCACACCCCAGGAAGCCACAGTCGCCCCAGCCCAGTCCCAGCTGCAGTTGCCCTCACCACCCTGCACTCCAAGACCTCTGCCACCCTGCACTCCACCACCCCAGCTGACATTCGCCACCTTCTTGCTGCTGCTGCTGACGAGGTGTGCCCAGCCAGGCTGCTGGGCCAGGCTGGGGTTGGGCTCTGCACTGTGAAACAAAAAGCAGAAAGGAGCCCCTGAGCCGCACCATGCCAAAACGCCCCTTTTGCACTGCGCTCCTGGGGTGGGGTGGTCTTTTGGCCTTTTTTTTTTTTGGCAGCTTGAAGTAAAAGTTGTTTTTGCTTGAAACTTCATTGAAGCTAATGAGCCTTTGAAGATTTGCATAGCCCTACTTCATTTTACATTATCACACTGAAGGCAGCTTTTTTCAGAATGTAACATTTAATCAGTGATAAAAAGGTACCCTAATCTTTACGACCATGCCACTTAGCGATGGCAGTTCCAGTCCCAATTGCTGTCGTAAACCAATGACTACCTGTGTTTGCAGATAGAAAGCGGTTCATTGCTAATTCAAGGAGGCATACCAAGATGGAATTGCAATGACTTTTTTCCCCCCAGTCTAAAAAAGGGATTAGCAAGCTTTTCTGAGGTAGAGGATTGAATGGGGTTCTGGAGAATTTTTATGGGCTACACTCTTCTCTGTAATGGAGAGAAAGTGTGCGTCAGGGCAATGCTGATCAAAAGCTTTGATTCCCACAGCAACCAAGGTCATGGGGATTACTGTATGTGTGGCGCAAGATTAAACCCTACTGTGATCCAGAAGTAATACTCAAGATCATGGTTTCCACTTTCCAAAGAGCAGCACCAGAATAGCAAACTGTATCTTGTTATCCAGCTGATGATTCCTTCAGCTTGGCAGTGTAGAAATGTTGGCAAGATTTACCTAGTAGGCTTTGGATGCTATATATGCAGCCACATTCAGTTTCAGAGCACTTGCTAAGGATCATTAGATCGCTGACCTAAATTAAAATGTACTCGCACATCTAATACATTATTATAAATGATTAGTAGTAGTAGTAGTATATTGAAGCAAGTATACTTGCAACTCATTCAGACTTAGGTAAACAAGTACTGTTAAACAATATTAAGTTTAGTACAAGTGAAAGGAGGAGCAGAACAAACAAATTTCATTTTATGGATACTGTGTTTTGCATTTCTGTCATGGCAGAGATTTAAGATTGCTATCAATAGGAGGTGGTGCTGATGAAATCATGCTGAACATTATATGTAAGCACATGGACATCTTGCCCAAAAAGTAAGTTCTGTGAATACTATAGATCTTTGCTACTGTTTTGATAATCTGAATCAGATAGAGTTTTTTTTATGTAGGGTAAAGATAAAATAGTTATTCAAAGGAGTGACCAGGTTTTGAATTTTCTTAATGTTCATATTGTATGGATTTTTCTTACATGTAAATTGTACCCAGACTTAGGAGATAGCATCCACAAGGCTACTGAAAGTATGCTGATGCACATCAGCAAAATATGCAAGCTTATATCTTTTCCTAGAACCACTGGTGTGTAATATTTGGATATGAAGCAGAAAAGGTGATTCTGATCTAATGTGGGAACTACCTTTCCCTGGCAGTTTAAAGAAGCTGTATTTTTTCCTGATCTCACATAGTAGTAAGCATGCCCAGGCCAGCCTTAAGCCCCTTGCCTGCTTTGAATGTGAATACCTACACATCCATACCTAGAACATTTTTCTGGGTCTCTTTTAATTACTAAAATGTGAATTCATCCATTGTTTGCTTCTAAACAATGTAATGGTAGGACCAACTAGAATTCTTATCTCCCCTATTTTGTAGTCAAGATCTTCAGATATTGAGCTCTGAAATGTATGTATGAACTCTATCACACCTACCAGCTCATGTGATAATTCCATGCATTCCATACACATATGCATTAATACTGCATATCTTAATGTGTACCATATATTTTGGTTGATTTAAATAATTGTTCAACTGTATTGCTTATGCAACCCAGTTGGTAGCAATTGAGTAATATACAAAATGTATTATATATTTATAATATAATATAAAATGTATTATAAAAGCCTTTTCATAGGTTTTTATAATTCATTTCATATAAAAGTCACCTTTTCAAAAAGATGGGGAAAAATCCACCTACGGTACCGTAGTTGACTACATTAGTGTAATTGATTATTGTGCCTGAAACAGAATGGTGCATGGTGTATATAAAATCACACATAGCTTAGATAACATGGATAGAGAGAAGTTTTTATCCCTCTTTCACAATGTTAGAATATCAAGTCATCCTTTGAAATCCAAACTAAATGGAGAGAGGGTAAAGACTCTAAGAAAGAAAGAATTTTTCACATCATACACAGCTAATTTGGGGAATTCACTGCCAGCAGTTGTGATAATAGCAAGCAATTTGGATGGCTTTCAAAGGGAGTTGGACAAGTTCATTCAGAATCAAGCTATCAATGGTTGCTAACACTGAAGGCTTTTACTACCCCCTGAATCATGGGCTACATGCTCAAATATTGGTTACTGGGAAGTAACAGTGAAGGGAACCATTTTCCTCCAGTTTAATCTTACAAGATTTCCAAAATCAGAATGCTGGATCAGATGCCTGTATGGCCTTACCAGCAGGGGTCTTAATATGTTCTTTTTTATATATATATAATCAGTAAACAATGGCTTTGTATTCAGCTACAAAAAGGCTACTTTAAATTGAAGCATTAAGTTTTATTCTCTTAATTTATAGGAACCAAAAAGGATGAGCCCTGGAATTCACAGAACTATATGGCACACAGTTTTTGAAACTCTTTTCTTTCTTTCTTATCATTTTATGTTAGTCCAGTCTTGCTATCTCCATTGTAGGGGAGGAGTTGTTTCTTCGATATATTGTGTTGCTGTCCATCCACTTCCTATTTGTGTCTAGTTCACAGTCCAAAAATCAAGTCTGTATCTGTCATGATAAGAAGTAACTGAGGACTATCAGAAATTGTGCCTGGTCCCATGTTGCAGTTCCCAAATGATTCTGAAAGAATATTTTCACTAAAAACATCATACAACAATTGCACTGCTCCTCTCCAGATTTTTTTTTTTTCATTTTTCATGGAAGTACTGCATCTGTAAAGTAATACATTACTTCAAGTTTTGGGAGGATGATACGATACAATATCAATGAATGCACTTTCAGTGTTTGTCATACCACTGTTTCATTTAAAATATTAGCCCAAAATTTAACTTCATATTTTGTTTTCCTAAGCTCTGATTTTTTTTTCACCATAACCCCCCGCAGCCTTGTTGACAAATTCAAACACTCTTCATCATAACCAGAGGTAGTATTCTGTTTGCAAAGTTAATCATTAGCCATAAGTGAGCCTTGTAAGCAGATTTTGAAAGTCAGCTTCATTGTATTCTTCAAATGGTTTAAAGCTTTAGCGTTAACAATAACTTTAATACTGAGAGGAAAGGGGGTGACTTTGCAAAAAGGAAACATGCCTTATTGCACTTCCCTATATTTTTTTAATCATATGCAGGTATAGTTCTTATGCATAAACCTTACTGTTAGTAAAATCAAAGGTATTTCTCAGTATTTTCAAATTAAATAAAATAGGGTATCATTTTTGTAATTGAAGCATTTATATATGATTAGAATAAAGTACAAATTAGGAATTGTTCTATTTTTTTAAAAAAATGTTTAAGTTGGAAAGTTTGTCAGTGTAATACATACAAATGAAGTAAGATATCCTTACTGATATCAGTGTGGTTGTACATATTGGAATTGGAAAATGGAAGGAAACTATCACAGCTGCTTAAATGGCCAATTGTGATGAGTAGAATCCTCCCTTTAGCACTCTTAATGGGATTCCAACCACACTGCTACTGGGTTTGCATTATCAAACTTCTCAACATAAACTTTGAAGCTTCTCATTGGGAGGCTTTCTTCATAGTCACTCATGCCCTCATGACCTCTTGTCTGGATTACTGCAACATGCTCTACATGGGGCTGCTCTTGAAGAGCATTCAGAAGTTTCAACTGGTACAAAATGTGGCTGCACGGGTGGTAAATGGTGTCAGATATATGACATGTGTAATACCACCACTGCCTGAGCTGCATTGGTTGCCGGTATGTTTCCAGGTACAATTCAAGGTGCTGGTTGTCTATTTAAAGTCCTTCGTGGCTTGGGACCAGGTTACCTAAGGGACTGTCTTCTTCCAATAGTTTCTACCCATCCAATTCCATCTGACAAATTCCAGAACGTTATCAGGTTTCATATTCTGGAAGATAATACTATACTATCAAATTAAAACTCTGACACTATTAATGGTGCAGCTACCTAAGGTTGCTGCCAGGGATATACCAATACCTAATAAAACAGGCTATTTATTTAATGGGGATTTCATATTTGTGGATTCCCTGTATCTTTTAATTAAGGAAGGAAACTCCAATCCCCTAAATTCCTTATTTCCAAAAATCTGTTTCATGATTACATTAGCTGAAACCTCAAATGTGTAATTATCATGGTCAGTGTAATCCAACCAGAAGCACAAATAATATAGCAACAGTATTTGGTTGTGCAACTATTTTGCCTAACCTAGAAAGATGCACAAACTGACTACGGTGAGATAGTGTAGTAAAATTAATACTGCCAGTTCCAGTCTATTAACCGTAAACATCAGTATAGCTAATAGGATCCCAGCATAGACAGGTAGGCAAAGAACCATGTTGATTGTGAGCCCTTTTTCTTCTCTTCTCCCTCACACAACTCTATCTCAAAATTAGTGTATAGTTTAAAGTATATTTTAACCGCAAGCCAAGTTCAGAACACAACTTTTCTTATTAAAACAATAACACTTAATTCAACTTAGCTTTGAAAAGAAGGCATCTTGCTTTTTAAAACATTTGATAAATCCATACAAAACGACCAAGATTACCTTTTATTAGTAGGAAAAAAGGAAATGTTACAAAGTATAACTTCTGAATATGAAAATGCCTCTTTTAACAATGGAATTCATCCTTAGTAAACTGATATTTTGTTTTGTTTGTAAAGAGCTCAGACGAACAGAATTCAGTTCAGGGACCCTACAAAATAAGGGCTTTTTTAAAAATGGCAATGCTTCTGGCCTAATCATTTAAGAATGTACACAGCACAGATCCAAAGGCATTAATCCTAAATGCGGTTTACAAAAATTATTTACCAGTTTTCTCAAAGAACTTTCTAAGAGTCCATCATGGTGTTAATAATCTTATAATGGAGATCTGCATCACCTCAGTTTAATAACCCAATAGATCACAAAAAAGACAAACAATGAGAACAGCATCATGTAGCATAACAGTTTTGTCTGGCTTCCTCTGGAGAGGATTTTCAGTCTACCCATTGTTGCACCAAGGAATCCACTTGTTGAATCAAAATCATTGTCCTGTTGTTAAAAACATACAGAATGATTTTACTATTTGCATTACTACCTATTAACTTTCAATACCTAAAGATAGAGATTGCAACTAATTGTATTTTCTCTGCTCAAGAATCAGCAAGTTATAATTATTAGAACAGTTTTCTTCAACTTGAACCCCCTTTAGATGTGTGGGCTTCAACTCTCAAAATTACCTGGTCATCTTGGGACGGTTACTGAGGAGCTCATGTTCGTGTATCTGAACAATACTCAGATTGTGGAAAGCCAGGTCAGAGTTTTAACCAAGAAGGTTGAATTCATATCTTCACTCAGCCATAAATCACACTGGATTACCTCAAGCCTGTTACTGACTTTTTGATCTAATGTATTTTATAGAGTTGTGAAGATACTGCTTGATCCTTAGAGGGAAAATTGGACATAAATTAAATAATTCCTTTGCTTCATTTTAAAATACTAGATTTGGAGACAGTGAAAGTTACCCATGCAAAATCATATAAAAATTAAAATGCTCCCAATAAATGACTGTAGTTCAGCGTCCAGTTCCCCTTCCCAAAAAGGCGATCAGTGGATTTTTTTGTCTTTTTAGAAAATGTCCCACACATCCAAGTTCATTTGTTTGCCAGTTTGTTTTAATATCCATATGCCAAAACTGGATTTTGAAAAAAAGGAAGAAAGAAACTTGCAGCTATTTTCTATAGAAATTTCATCTACAGAAGAAAAAACCTGCCTAATTTTATAATGTTATATGTTATGAACATGTAACTTTTCAAATCATGTTATATACAGGGCTAAATCTATATTCTTCATATATAAAGTAATCTCACTGAAATAGCAAAGTTAAATCATTATTCACTTATTAAATTCAGTGGATGTACTCTAAGCATGGCTAAAGGGATTAGTATGTTAGTCAGAATTCACTTGACTGATTTAAAACTAAATTGATATATCTGAAAACTTAGAGTTAAGCAGTTTCCATGCTCATCTAAAATAAACTGTCTAAGTAAATACATACCATTTCAGATAATAATTTATTTTGTTGTTTAACTTCTGTTCCGATTTCAATGGAAAGCTATGAGAAAAAAGACATGTTTGGTATATTACGATGCAGAATAGTAACTGGATTAGCTAGGACATAACAAGCATATTTAAGGTATTTTCCAGATCCTTAAAAATCCAAGGTAGAAAATAGTATTTGGTAAGATAGCATTCATTTGTAAACTGTTTCATTCATTTTCAAATATAAAATCTCTCCCTCCTTCTGGTAATTTCTTTTCTTGTGTAGCAGGGAAAAACCTTGTGGTATGGCTACAGTTTTCTGGTTTGCTCCAAAGCCTTTGACAGGAGTAACTAAAGCCACATTGTACACTTTTAAATCTTTGTTTTAATTCACATTCATTTTATACTTATAATGTGCTTAGATAATTTGTTTCTCTTTTTCCGCTTTTAATCTGCTTCAGTATTTTAAACTTAAGAACTACAGACCAGTCATGTGTTCAGCAAAAAATAAGTGGTGCACATGGCAGGTGAAACTTACAGAAGAGCACTAATAATACACTAGCCAAGTTGGGTAGCAGATACATCTCATTTACTTCCTATAGATTCCTTTGCACCATAATAATTCCACAAGGTTTGCTACTTAGATCAAATGAGCCACTGGGCTGCTGGAGAATTGCTGCTCAAGACAAGCCATTTTCTTAGCCCAACAAGTGCTTTTCACCTGCACAAACTCTGACATGGATATACAGCTTAAGCATATATTTCCCATACTACCTTAGAGCAAAAAGAGTTCAATTAGGACCAGGGGAGAAAGTTGACAATACTTTAAAAGTGTAGAGTTAACTGAAAGCCTGCAGATTTTATATCCCACCCGTTTTTGCAGCCCCTTGATTACATAGCCCAAATTCAGCAACAAACACTGGTTGTGAGCTGTACAATCTTCCCCATTTTAATAAGCCACACTTAATTTGCCTTTTGGCATTGAATCCCCTCCTCATTTCTCAAAACACAGGCCAAACATTTTGGCTTTGCTGCCTTCATATCACCACCACTATGACAATTGATAAGATAGATAGATCGGCCCCTATCCTGATGTAGAGAAACTAAACAGGAACTGATCAGTAAGCATTCACAGCAGTTTAAAACCAGCAACATTCTATTTATAAGGTGTTTTAACCAGCTGTGCCATTTCATGCTTTACAAATAAAGGAGTCCTCCTAGGGCTACTATTGCTTCCTGAACATTTCCAGTTATGCATCTTTCAATCTTGTGACAATCTGCACTGTCTCCTTTTTCTGATGCTGATCAGTAATAAAGTCATGAAACCAGACAATACATTAATTCATAGGAAATGAACTGGCAGTGACTTATCTGAAAAACAATGTCAGAGTAAGAATAGGCTGATGAATGAAAACATCAGTTTAATTTGGCTGCTGTTTTTAAAAAAAGGCAAATTCTATGCTTGGAATTATTAGGAAGGGAATTAATTATAAAATAGCCAATATTAAAATGCCCTTATATAAATCTAAGGTGAATTGGTATTTGAGTACTGTGTACAGTTCTGGTCACAAAACCTTTTTAAAAAGGCTACTGTACAGCTGAAGAAGGTACCAAAAAAAGCAACTACATGTAGTCCTCAACGACCACAACTGGGACTGGCAACTATGTCGCTAAGCAAAACATGTGACCGCAATGGACTTACATCACTTTTCCCCACAGACATTAAGCGAGACATGTGATGGTGACTTGCGATTTCACTGCTGGTTACTCCATTGACTCTGCAAAAGTCCACCGATTGCAAAGCGCCCAAATGTCATCATGTGACCGCTGCAGTGGTCATAAGTACAAGGACCAGTCATAAATTTACTTTTTCAGCGCTGTCATAACTTTGAACAGTTGCTAAACAGGGCACACAAAGATGTACTACATGAATTGGCCAGTGAGGTGTGGGGATTGCCAGCTTTGCTTATAAGGACTAGACCAGACCACTGGGCTGGTTTAGTTTGATTCAATTTCAGTTATAATCATTTCTTTAACAAAAGAATTTAACTTGGTGGTTTACAGGTAGACTGACTTACTAATCCTTGCTGATTTACCACTCTCTCAGGAACACAATTCTTAGTCACACTGCCAACAAGCAGATCTTCTGCTGTTCCAGCTTGTAACTAATACTTTGATTAGCGAAAAAGAGCAGCTGAAGCTCAAAACCAATTACAGGTAGAATATGTTCTATCAACAAGCGTACCATGCCTTCTGATGGGCAACATTGTGTTTGAATTTAATTAAACAACTGCTATACTGCTATTACACTGATAATCCAACTATTATGTACTCCAATCCGTTTGGATGCTGCTGGTATAATGATATACTTACAGATTTTATGGCAGTGACTTTTGAGCGCAAACTTTCCGTTAACTTTTCATTTTCTTCCTCATATACACTATAGCCACTATTGGTATAGCCATAATTGCTGCCAGCAGCTCCTTCACCTGAAAAGACAATCAGATTAAAGCACCAGAAATTCAGCTGGAAAAAAATTGTTTCTGGAGGGGAAGAACAGTTTAGTTTTATTAAATCATAACCTGTCTTAAGAGAAAAGGCAAGTAATGTCATCATACAATATGAACAACCTAAACCCTTCATAATCTAAAATTGAACAGGGACAAAGCAAATGAATAAGGGGATGAAGGGAAGACATACAAAGGTGACTGATTCATGTAACCCTCAGGGCTTTCCTGTCCATAGTCCAATCCAATGGGTTGAAACTGAAAAGTTCCTTTTCACTGATTAAGAGAATTTAGGATCCAAGTCCACTGTTTTAAAAATAACTGAACTGGAGAGTCCAAAGCCTCTATACACTCTTAACACTTTTCAAAAAAATACATGTCCATCTCTCTTCCCCTTCCTTGATTTCTGAATGGTATACATATCTGAATAATCTACTGTATTAAATTGGATGTGCTATTTTCTTTCTCTTTCCACATCATGCCAACACAAAATCAAAGACATTATCTTCCCAAACTGTTAAGTGGTACTCTTTAAAATCTTAGAATTATCCCTTGCCTTTTTCTTCAGTAAGAATAGATAGTGTTACTCCTTAAGACCAGCAGTTAAAAAACTTTCTACTTGGTAGTTTGGGACCCAAGTTGCTTACAGTCAGTTACAACTGAAGCTACCTATAAGTATAAATAAATATTCACATATACACAATTATGCTTGTAATTCATTTATTTAAAACATATGTATACTATTTCCTAGTTAAAAATAATCTTGAAGTGATGTACAATAGAAAGCTTCAGGAGTCCATTTTCAAAACCATTACAGGTAGTCCTTGTTTAGCAACCGCAATTTGGACCAGCAGCTTGGTCATTAAGTGAAGTGATCACTAAGTAAAAATCACATAACCACAACTGTGCTTATGACTTTACTTCAGATTTCCTTTGCTTTACAGCATCAGAAGGTTATGACCCAAACACCCAGATTAACCCAAATGGAGAAGGTTTCCGGAACTCAACTCACAAAGAAGCTGGATAAAAGGGCAAATCTTACAGCCCTTTTTCCCCAATTCCCTGCCCTTTGCAATGCTCACCCTGGTGCTGGGATAATTAGCAACAGGAGAACTGATGTTTGTATTTACATTCATTGGAGAGGAAGATAAGCAGGCACACAATGGGGAATACATATGGAAAGGAATGCGCTAGCACCAGTGTTTGCCTAGTGAGCTGCTTAGAAGGCAAACAGAAGCCTTTAGTGTGAATCCGATTACGGTCTTGTCAACTTCAGGTGTCATCCGCCAGCTGCCAGAGGGTTCTAAACAACTAATTAAAGTCACAGAGCTGAGCTTGTTAACTTAGTTAGCACTTTTTAGGGAAGCATTGTGCTGCAGAGAAAAGCAGCTCAGAAAGAGAGAGCCTGTTTAAGCAACCTCTCCACTCTGGGGTGGAGTGGTGGGGGGAGAACAAAAATAGGTCAGGCACGGGACAACATGTACTGACTGACTAATGGTGAACACGTGACAGAGATGGTGCAAAGGTCGTAAATGTGGGCATTGGTCGCAAAGTTACTTTTTCATCACCGCCATAACTCTGAATGGTCACTGTCTGAGGCAGTCACTAAATGAGGATTACTTGTTCAGTACAAGATGGCAATTCTCCGTATAGTGAATAAAGAAGCCAAACAAAATGTACACTAAGTATCATTTAGAGAAGTTGCTAGCTAGCTGAGGTCTTTGATTTTATGATAGTTTTAATGGAACATCAATTTAAAATCCAGTATTAAAGGCACTTTTGGAAGCAACTATTATACTATAAATAGTAAAGTGAACCATATTCTTGGAAGGTAGCTATGGGTTAAAAGAATGTTGTTAAATTATATTCCAAAAATCTTGAACTTGTCAATCTATAAAGAACTTTCAATATATTTTGCTTGGACTATTGCAAAGAAAAGGACTTTGTATTCTGGATGAACATTTATGAACCAGATTCCAATAGTTGGCTTAATGAAATGTGTCAGCTTTCAGCCTATGAACTGGCTTTGTTTCAACAGACAAGCAGGATTGGACAATACAATTCTGTACAACCTAGATTTAATTTTCTATTTAAAAACTGAATTTGTAATTATTTGTATAAATATAAAATTGAAATTTGAAATTGTCGAATACTAGTCAAATTTTGACATTTGAATTGTTTTGCATTTTTAGTATTTAATTTTTACTCCTTTCCCTCCCAATTACTTTTTTTTTCTTTTTGGCTCTTTTTAACATACTGCTTTTTCTGATTTCTTTTCCTTTGCTTTTTAAAATTAGCCTTGTGTAGGTTTTTTTCTTCTTTTACATAGTAGTTTATCTCTTAATATATTTACTATGAACATCTAAACTTGTTACTAATTACTATATAATTGTAATGTTTTTAAAGAAAATTCAATTATAATATGTTGTAAATTCAGTAAAAAAAATTACATACATACTAAGCCTATCATACTTAACTGCAAAGATCTGGATGGCCACTAGATGACTGTCATGGGGTACAGAAACCTAGTACTTTGCTGCCATTTAGTGGTAGCCTAATAAATATGTTATTTAATAATTTATTTACACACACACACACACACACACATTTATTTTATTGTAACTATTTCACTGATTCTTACGTTCAAAGTGATTTGGACACTAAATTTAATCTTAGAGAATTGCACTAACAAAGTTTTTATTAATTTTCTTGTACAGTTTTTTAAGGTGCTACAAAATATAAGCAACCCCCCCCCCCTCTGATTAAGTGGACAAGATCCACAAATGCTTATGCGGAAATAAATCTGTTGAGTTTCTGTGCCACTAAACTTTTTCTTAGCTGTTTTTCCCCCAGCGGACTAACATGGCTACCTCCTTTGGAAACAAAAATACCTGGTCAACTTTTAGAATGAATGAAAGATACAATCCTCGTGTGTTTCACAAGTTAGAAATAACATTGCATTTTGTGGTAACCAACAGCCTCATTTCAAATGTTCTATCAGGGTGTTACCCTGGAGTAGAAATTTATCAGTGTAAATATGGCAATGACAGAGCACAGCTAAGCTGTGTATGCAATCAACTCAACTCGCTCACACCTGAAGGGTGTGGCTACATGACACAACACAAATCACAGTATATAGTAAGGTGCACCATGGGTTATGGTGTGGCTGGTGGGTGGAGTTGTGGCTGGTAGTTGGAGGTGTGGTTGATAGGTTGGTGTATTGTAAGTTCTGTATAGATTGTACAGTAAAAGTCTGTGTACAGTTTTCTACAAACAGACTGTGGACTAGTTATTTTGCCACGCTCACGGAGCACCAACAAGGCGGTGTCTACGCTGATCCCCGACATGTTCATCATAATCGCATCCCATTGCTTATTCTTTGAAAATCATAATGGTTTTACGAGCATATTAATTTCACAAACAAAACTAAGCTCAATCATTAGCAGTAATGTAAATTTTAACACCCCTTCATGGATCACTGCCTTGTCGTCGCGAAGGGGCTTGCGTAACTCAGTGAAGCCAAGAGCTATACCGTGCAGGGCCACCCAAGAC